TAGACTGACTTGCCTGCAGTCCAGAACTGTCGTTATAAAGCACAAAATATGACAACAAAGGTCCTGTATGGATGCACAGCTGAAGACGTGTATATGTACTGAGTTAATAGAAAGATGATGTAACTCAGGGGTCAATCATGCTGTCCCAGCATCAAATTTGGAAAGAGTGTTTATTTACAAAAACAACAAAGTTTAAAAGATAAAACATCAAATACTGTCTTCAAAGTTAAACAGGTCAAGCTCAATTATTAATCACTGCTTTCTCTCTTTATTAGCATTTCACATATCGTCCCAACATTTTTGGAACTGGTTCTGCATTAAGAGTCACATTAATATTAAGCATCTTTTTTTATTTTAAGCCTGTTGAAGTGTTTGGTCTGTTTTTTAGCCTGTGTGACGTTTTGAGCCTCTTTCCTCGTTCCGGCTCCATTCAGTGAAAACATCACACTGAGCTCAGACTTTTTATTGGAAGCCTTATTTTGGAATAATGTGATTTTGTAATTTGTAATTTCCATTTTAACTTTAATAGATCAGTCGTGTATGTGATGTTGATGTTGCTAACGGGGTTATAATTCCTCTGAAGCCTCCACACTGTCTGAATTATTAAGGAGCTTAATTGGGTTGAATTTTGGGGTGGATTAGAGCTCAGAGGATGCAGCAGTGACTCACTGTAAGTGCAATAAGAGTAGCCTCTTTCATAATGAGCGCATAATTAAGGCTATTTTTAGTTGAATTACTGACAGACTTGGATATTGTCTACGTCACCTGGGGGCTGAGCTCCAGTGGGGTGATAAAACTTCTCTGCACAAGTTACACACACACACACCCCCACACACACACACACACACACACCCCCCCACACACACACACCCCAACCCAGTTTTTAAACATATAGTATTGTGATACGTTCAAATCTTTACAGAAGGACTGTAAACCTTGGATGAGGACAGTAGGACTGTCTTTACCGTGTATTAATCAATAAGTAAGATTATCTATCTTAGTAAAGTCTCAGTTAAAGCAATGAAAATTAATTAAACTGGACAGTAAACTAAAAGTTCAAATAAAATATCAGACGCTGTGTCGTGATGGTGAATGAATGTGTGTATTGTGAGGGGCCTGTGTGTATTGTGAGGGGCCTGTGTGTAATGTGAGGGGCCTGTGTGTAATGTGAGGGGCCTGTGTGTAATGTCAGGGGCCTGTGTGTATTGTGAGGGGCCTGTTTGTAATGTCAGGGGCCTGTGTGTAATGTCAGGGGCCTGTGTGTAATGTGAGGGGCCTGTGTGTAATGTCAGGGGCCTGTGTGTATTGTGAGGGGCCTGTTTGTAATGTCAGGGGCCTGTGTGTAATGTCAGGGGTCTGTGTGTATTGTGAGGGTCCTGTGTGTAATGTGAGGGGCCTGTGTGTATTGTGAGGGGCCTATGTGTAATGTGAGGGTCGTTTGTGTAATGTGAGGGGCCTGTGTGTATTGTGAGGGGCCTGTGTGTATTCTGAGGGTCCTGTGTGTATTGTGAGGGGCCTGTTTGTAGTGTAAGGGGCCTGTGTGTAATGTGAGGGGCCTGTGTGTATTGTGAGGGGCCTGTGTGTATTCTGAGGGTCCTGTGTGTATTGTGAGGGGCCTATGTGTAATGTGAGGGGCCTGTGTGTATTGTGAGGGGCCTGTGTGTATTGTGAGGGGCCTGTGTGTATTGTGAGGGGCCTGTGTGTATTGTGAGGGGCCTGTGTGTAATGTGAGGGGCCTGTGTGTAATGTGAGGGGCCTGTTTGTAGTGTAAGGGGCCTGTGTGTAATGTGAGGGGCCTGTGTGTAATGTGAGGGGCCTGTGTGTGTTGTGAGGGGCCTGTGTGTGTTGTGAGGATCCCGTGTGTATTGTGAGGGGCCTGTGTGTAATGTCAGGGTCCTGTGTGTATTGTGAGGGTCCTGTGTGTATTGTGAGGGGCCTGTGTGTAATGTGAGGGGCCTGTGTGTGTTGTGAGGGGCCTGTGTGTGTTGTGAGGATCCTGTGTGTATTGTGAGGGGCCTGTGTGTAATGTCAGGGTCCTGTGTGTATTGTGAGGGGCCTGTGTGTAATGTGAGGGGCCTGTGTGTATTGTGAGGGGCCTGTGTGTAATGTGAGGGTCCTGTGTGTATTGTGAGGGGCCTGTGTGTAATGTGAGGGGCCTGTGTGTGTTGTGAGGGGCCTGTGTGTGTTGTGAGGATCCTGTGTGTAATGTGAGGGGCCTGTGTGTGTTGTGAGGGGCCTGTGTGTATTGTGAGGGTCCTGTGTGTATTGTGAGGGGCCTGTGTGTAATGTGAGGGGCCTGTGTGTAATGTGAGGGGCCTGTGTGTATTGTGAGGGGCCTGTGTGTAATGTGAGGATCCTGTGTGTATTGTGAGGGGCCTGTGTGTAATGTGAGGGGCCTGTGTGTATTGTGAGGGGCCTGTGTGTATTGTGAGGGGCCTGTGTGTATTGTGAGGGGCCTGTGTGTAATGTGAGGGGCCTGTGTGTAATGTGAGGGGCCTGTGTGTAATGTGAGGGTCCTGTGTGTATTGTGAGGGGCCTTTGTGTAATGTGAGGGGCCTGTGTGTAATGTGAGGGGCCTGTGTGTAATGTGAGGGTCCTGTGTGTATTGTGAGGGGCCTGTGTGTAATGTGAGGGTCCTGTGTGTATTGTGAGGGGCCTGTGTGTAATGTGAGGGGCCTGTGTGTAATGTGAGGGGCCTGTGTGTAATGTGAGGGGCCTGTGTGTAATGTGAGGGGCCTGTGTGTATTGTGAGGGGCCTGTGTGTAATGTGAGGGGCCTGTGTGTATTGTGAGGGGCCTGTGTGTAATGTGAGGGGCCTGTGTGTAATGTGAGGATCCTGTGTGTAATGTGAGGGGCCTGTGTGTGTTGTGAGGATCCTGTTTGTATTGTGAGGGGCCTGTGTGTAATGTGAGGGGCCTGTGTGTAATGTGAGGGGCCTGTGTGTAATGTGAGGATCCTGTGTGTAATGTGAGGGGCCTGTGTGTATTGTGAGGGGCCTGTGTGTATTGTGAGGGGCCTGTGTGTAATGTGAGGGGCCTGTGTGTATTGTGAGGGGCCTGTGTGTATTGTGAGGATCCTGTGTGTATTGTGAGGGGCCTGTGTGTATTGTGAGGATCCTGTGTGTATTGTGAGGGGCCTGTGTGTATTGTGAGGGGCCTGTGTGTAATGTGAGGGGCCTGTGTGTATTGTGAGGGGCCTGTGTGTATTGTGAGGGGCCTGTGTGTATTGTGAGGGGCCTGTGTGTAATGTGAGGGTCCTGTGTGTAATGTGAGGGTCCTGTGTGTAATGTGAGGGGCCTGTGTGTATTGTGAGGGGCCATATGCAGTGTGTAGTGAGTGAGTGGGGTGAGTTGCTCTGCTCCGCCGTCAGTGAGTGTTACTCGAAGCTCTTTAAGGTGTGTTAAAGTGATGATTCTGCACATTAATTAAAGCGCTTTAATCAAACTGCTACGTCAGCATCGTCTCGAGGCCCCGCGCTGCAATTACACCACGGCAAGCACAGAGTATTTATAGATCATTCAGCTAATTATGGCTCAGTTATGAACCCTGATCACTTTCTCCACTACATGCTCTTTTGAAGTCTGACTTTAATTAGTTTTAATTAACGTTTGAATCCCTGAGTGAGCGCAGGAAGTGAGAAGCATCATCACCTGCTGAGAGGAGCTGTCACTTCTCCATCAACACAGAGAGAGAGAGAGAGAGAGAGAGAGAGAGAGAGAGAGAGAGAGAGAGACAGGTAGAGTAATCTGATCGCATGCCTGTAATTAATTAGTGACGGAGGAGTCAAACAGTTGTGTTTCGAATTACAGATGTGAATAAAGAACATCGCTCCAGACCTTCTGGAAGTTCTAGATATGCCCCTGTGGCTCTAACCCTGAGTTCACACCAGCAGTGACGCAGCGCTACAGGAGTTCATTCTCAGTGAGAGCTGAAGATTTACTGAGCACTGAAGAGAATGTTGAGAGCAATGAGGAGAATGTTGAGGAGAATGCTGATGAGAACACTGAGGAGAACATTAGGGAGAACACTGAGGAGAACATTAGGGAGAACACTGAGGAGAACGTGCGTTAAACATGGGTTGTTGTGAGTTCTAGTGGATGAGGGAGAGAACACAGGGGTTAAAGTAAATATGTGAGAACAGATGCGACGCAGCCAAGGCGTGTTGTGCATGCGATCGCTGCATGTTCTGTTCCTCAGGCCTCTGAGACCCTCGCAGCTCCAGCATGCATTAATCTGGTTATTACAGACCTCACGCCCCCCACTGCCCCCCCCACCACTAATTAGTACCTTTGTCCTTCTAATGAACTGTTAATCAGAGTGGGGTTTGTTATGGTTTATTACGGTCGTTGTTGGCACAGATTTCTACACTCAGGGTTCCGAGTCCACACGTCCATTAGACGCGTTATTAACGAGCCAAAAAGAATTTGGATTTGATCATAATTGAATGATGGGAAATGACTTCATTTCATTTTGGCTAATTGATAATGCAGCTACTGCGGAGGGAAAAAACAACTGAAACAGAAAAGAGGTGGGATTGGTTACGCAACCCTTCCTGGTTGACCTGTGTGTTTGGCAGTTCTGGCTCTTAATTCTAGAGCCTGATTATGGCCTTAATGATCTTCTCCATTCATCTCCTTAGATCATCAGTCGGGGCTCATTTTCAGCTCTGAACTTGACGCTCAGCCTTGGCAGAGCTTCATCTTTATAAACACCTTTGGTGACTCCTGAGTTCTGTTCACTCATCGTTCTAACACGTTTCATCTACTTAATCAGGACAGTTACACGCTTTATTTTTACCTCTCGTTATCTCGGTTATTTCTGATATAAACATTTGTGGTTAATATTTGTTAATATTAGGTCATCATTTACTTACTCTGCGGTCAGGAGCAGGGCTAGCGTGAGTGGACATTCAGCGTTCAGCACAGTCACTTACAGTCATCTACATCAGTAACGTGCTCCTGTACAGTTATGATGACTGATCTACGCTCCTGTGTGTTTCAGGTTGCCAGATGGGAGCACAGGACCCGCGGGCTGACGCGGCTGTTTGGGAGTCCGTATGTGGCCTGTTACTGCCTCGGAATCCTCATCCTGCTTCTCAACGTGTACCGCAGTCACAGGTACCACACTCACTCAGTGCTGGAGTTCTGGATGGGGAGTTAGAAGTTTTTAATTTAATTTAAAAATAGAACAGTTTGGCAGATTAGCTTGTCTGAAGTTATACATTCCCATATTTAGGAATCATGAGCTGTCTGAACTCTCTCCTTCACCAGAGGGCAGTGTAGAGCTGTGCCGTATGTTTTGGTTAGAGGTTCTAATCTTTTAAGTCCAGTAGACAGACTGTCTACACACTGTTGCCATACTACACACTGTCTAAAGGCTACAGCAGCTGCCTAAAGACTACTGCAGCTGTCTAAAGGCTACAGTACACCATCTAAAGACTACTGTAGCCATCTAAAGGCTACCACGTGCCATCTAATAACTACCACACACCATCTAATAACTACTACACACCATCTAATAACTATTACACACCATCTAAAGACTACTGCACACCGTCTAAAGACTACAGCAACCATGTAAATCCTTCATACACTGTCTAAAGACTACTGCAGCCGTCTAAAAGCTACCACACAACATCTAAAGGCTACTGCAGCTACCTGAAGACCACTGTAGCCATCTAAAGGTAACGCACACAGGACAAGAAGCTCCACACCATGCAGCAGACAGTACAGAGCTCAGGCACGGCGCATAGAAAAGCTGAGATAAACATCAAACTCAACGTTATTCTATGAAGAACTGAAAAGGGTTCTGCTATTGTAACAAGCTTGACATCAGAACAATAGAGGAACCCTTTTTGGTGCTATAGAGGAGCCAGTTCAAAAAGGTTCTATATACAACCACATACAGCACATTGTCCATCAATCTGAAGAACCATTTTAAGTTGCAGACAACCCTTTGATCATGCAAATGGCTCTTTGAGTGTTCATGGTTCTATACAGAAGCCATATAGAGGAACCGTCTTTTTAAGAGCGTAGTACGTTTTTTATGTGCTTTGACATCACTTTTAGCTGAATTGTTTACAGACGGTTGTTTTGAGACAGAGTGTGTTTCGATGTGTTTAGTTGCTGCTGTAAGACAGTTTGTGTTGCTCAAATATGATACACATTTAGCTAAAAACAAACCTGTCTCACTCTCCGCTAACTGCTGAGCTCTGTTTCCTGGCAGAGCCTCAGCCCTAGTAAAAAAGTGGAACTATCTGTGTTTAAACTTTGTGTGAAAGAAAAAGTTCTTTGTGTGAAAAATAAATGTGTTTTTCTGCGTCTGCTGCCGTCCTCGCTCGCTCTCCTGATCACGGCGCGCATGTCACTGTTGCCATGGCGCCCTCAGGCTCTGCTGGATTGGCTGCGCTGGTGTCATTGGCCTGTGTGTGACAGCTGCTCGCTGTTTGTGTGGAGATGGAGAGACGGTCTGCTGCGGGTCACTGTGTGGAGCTCCAGGCTCTCCGCTGAGGCTGTTTAGCTGGAATAAGACTGAGGATCAGATTTAGAGCCTTTTTAGAGCCTTAAAATACTCTGAACTGCTGCACTGTGTTTGGGATGAAACTGTTTGTTTGGACAAACTGTCACCTGCCAGCCTGCCAGCCTGCCCACCTGCTGTATTGTGTTGTTTTGGCAGAGATGCTGAGAGCTGCTCTCACATCCACAGCATGTGTGGATCACCAGCAGCTCAGCTCTAGCTGTTAGCGTTAGCTCATTAGCTCATTCAGGGCAGCTCCTGTCCAAAGATTTCCTGCAGCTCTTTTTGAGTTAGGAGAGATTTTCTTCTTATCATTTTGCATAATTATCTACATTTTCAGTTGTGCTGCTGGTGTTTTTACCCTGTTAGCACCAGCGCGCAGCGTTACACTGTCACTGTACGTGATCATCAGGAGAAAAGCTCATTTTATCCTCCATTCTGTCAGCTGAAAATCAGTTTATTAACTGTTATGTACACTCAAACAGGGACGCGGGGGTGGGGGTGGGGGGGGTACAGACTCCAGGACTGTGTAACATGTTAACGCTGTTTAATCTGCTCTTCTCTGTTAACACAGCACTGCTGAATGCAGTTGTTTTGTTTTTTAGATATGTAAAGATTAACCACCTATGGAGAAAGTTAAAGGGTTGTCAGGTGTCCAGTTTTAAGCTGGTCAGTCTAGTTTTGGGCTCCGTCTGTGCCATTACTGTATGAGGATTGAGACAGTCTGGTGTGCAGACACTTAGGCAGAGTTAGACTGTGAAATCATAATTATTGGATCACAGCTCATTTAAAAAAACAAATGTGAAAAAAAAATTCTTCTTTATGAAGTACACAGTTCCTTACTCAAGTAACAGTACAAATACTCTGTTTAAAGCTACTCTGATAATGAAAGCTGAAATAAAGGTATAAAAGTACACACCTTGATGTACTTAAAGTCAAAAAGTCAAAATCTGTATTTAAAGTGTTTTCATTTTTGAAGCAGGGTGTTAATTACACATACACAACCCGTGACATTAAGTCTAAATAATTTTGTGCACCACCAGAAATAATTAACAAACCGCAAAAATCACAGCATGTAACGAACGTGGACTAAAAAAGCTGAGATTTTTGTGTAGTTTGTTTCACAAATGACCTTTTTTTACAAGTGAACACGTATATAATTTACACATCATGGACTTTTTACTCTGATTAAACAAATCATGAATTAGTCAAGTTCAAATTCATTTATAAAGCTTTATAAAACGTTCTTTAAAATTGAAGCTGTAGCATCACCAAGGGCAAGAGAAAGCTCCCTCAGACCAAGACGAGGAAACCCTGAGAGAAGCGATGCTCAGAAATGAGCAGTGTGGACTCTGAATGACAATGAAGGAGCCTCATGCATCTTTTACACAGTGATAGGAAACAGTAGCTCTTATTCTACGTGGTGATGCGCTTCACTGTCAGTCAGTGTGGACAGATTCTCAGACCGGATCACCAGTGATGTAATTGGTTGGGTCAACTGCTTACACTGTAGACTTGCACACAGATGTTATATAACCGTTTACCGACCGTTCCAGATGAAAGTTTCTGCTGATAAACTTTGCTCTAAATGCTCTTTAGGTGCTCTCAGAACATTTACTCATGTTTTCTGGCTGCGTCCTCCAGTGAAGCATAATAGTGTATTATGGTTATTAATATTTTCAGCTGTAGGGAGACGACCTCAGCATTTTCACATCTTTTCATGTGATGTTTTTGTTTTTTTGCGCCAAATTATGGAGGTTAGTATCAATAAGAGTATTGATAAGTATTGGTATTGATATCAGTATTGATAAAATCCAAACAATGTGTTGGGATGTTGGTTGTTAGAAGGTGCGGAACCTCTTTGGAAATTTCTAGCAGGGCTGTTTGAGCAGCTGTGCAGTTCAGTTCTGTGTTGAATATGTACTCCAGTCCTGTGGACCTGACCGGTCAGCACATCCCCTTCCCCTACGCTGACCTCACGGGCAAGGGCTTAGGTCTTTGTATCTGCTGAGGAGGATTTCATAACAGTAGGGCAGAGTAGAGAAGTTTCCATGGAAAGGCAGCAACGGGCGGTCAGTCAGTTTAATATTCACAGCGAGGGTAAAGTAGGCCGCCTGTGTGTGTATGACCCTCTGACGTGAGCGGTCAGGTGATCGAGCCACGAGAAAACCTCAAGATTTATTCATACGGAGCCTTTTACAGCGGCCACTCTCAAAAAGCAGCTCTACAGAAAGTCCAGTTTGGAAGAAACTTTCTGAGGAACCAAGACTCAGCAGGGGAACCGTCCTCCTCTGGTTCTCACCAGAGAACAAAACAAGAACAGCAGAAGAGAAGAAGCTCTTTTATCAGCGCTGTCCACCACGTTATACTAGTGAAACAGTAGCAAATCAATTATCTTGGTGATTAATTGAGACGTCAGTCCAAACTATAAAAATGGGGAGCCTCTACTCTTCTGGGAAGGCTCTGCACTAGATGTTGAACATTGCTGTGAGGATTTGATTGAGCATTAGTGAGGTCAGGTACTGATGTTGGATGGTCAGTTCTGGACACTCCAACTCATCCCAAAGGTACTGGATGGAGCTCCATCACTCCAGAGAACACAGTTCCACTGCTCCACAGCCACACACTTAAAAATTATGGTTCATCAAGGGTTCTTTATTTAAGAAAATGGTTCTATATAGAACCATGAACACTTAAATATCCCTTTGCATGATTAAAGGGTTCTTTCCATTATGAAAGGGGTCTTCAGATTGATGGAGAATATGCTCTAGATGGTTCTATATAGAAGATTTTTTAAAAAGTTCTATAGAGCACCAAAAAGGGTTCTTCTATTGTAACTAGCCTAACATTGCAACAATTAAAGAACCCTTTTTGGTGCTGTATATGACTCTGATGAACCCTTTCACGATGTAAAGAACCATTTAATCATGCAAAGTGTTCTTTGAGTGTTCGTGGTTGTATATAGAACCACTTTCTTTACTAAAGAACCCTTGAAGAACCATGATTTTTAAGTATGTACATATTGTGATTGCAATGTGGCTTGTAATACACTCAGACTCACTGGAGAATCAATAGTGATTAGTGATGCACAGTGATATTGGAATCATATCAGTGTTTCCAGATATTTGCTAAAAAATGATCAGCAGGTTTAGATTTAGGTGATATTTCAGACTGATGTCTGATGTGTGTTAAAACCCAGAAGAGCAGAATGTTTAGGTGATGCTGAGTTCCTGCACTGAAATACCTGCATTTATTGATTTTACTGCATTAATAACTCCACATACTGAAGCCCTAAAGCTTTGTTTTCAAATAAAATTAAATTTTTTTTTCCATAATGAGTTATTTTCATTTGTTTTCTTGAGATCTTGAGATATTTATGTCATTATTAGGACACAATGAATGTTGTGGTCTAAAGATCCTGATATATTTGTCATTATCATGACAAATGAATGCTATGATAAAACAATGTCTGTTATGTCTTGATAATGAAATAACTTGATATCTCAAGAAAAAATGTGTTTCATATCCAGAACCTGTTGGACATTTCAGCATAATTTAGGAAGTAACCAGAGAGTCTAACTATCATAATTACCTAGTACTT